CGTTGAAATATAGAACAATGCACTGCTCCACACTTGCTATGGCATGGTGCACACCTGTCGTCTCAATCTCTGGGAAATATTTCGTTCTCTGTTTAGAATCAGGCAGAATGAACGACAGAGAGCCTCTCATTCACGATGTGAATGTAGCGCCTAGTGCTCTTCCTAACCGTCGGAGAGCTGTTTCTTCTTGCAGGTAAGTCACTTTCCTGGTGGCACGAGCAACACAGCTGCATTACTGGTGACGTTAGGCCTTTGGGCAGGAAACGGTGGTTAACTTAGTTGGGGGGGGGGCCACGCGGCGGCGCGGCAGTCTGCTCGCCTGGCATGTTCGGAAATCCGTGGGCCAGGGGGAGTGTAGGCAGTCTAGGGGGTGGGGGGTGGGGGCAGTCACTTGACATGCGTGAAAAGCTGGAATGTTCGAGTTTACACTGTCTCGCTCGAGAGAGCCCAGGTGAGCAGACTGCCGCGCCGCCGCGTGCCCCCCCCCCCCCCAACTAAGTTAGCACTAAGTTAGCACCCAGGAATCTTCGGCGCTGTTGAAATATTGTGACTCCGAAATCTCAAATTTGATTTTTCAAATCTTAGGTTGTTTGGTGCTTATGATATGAATTTGAAATTCAATTCCTGCACTGGTGCTACGGTTGTTTTCGAAAGATCCAATGTGAACTTGTGTGTAGATAATTTGGTGCTCTGCGTACGGCAGGAACTCTCGTTTTTTTTTTGCTCAGGTGGCGCCTGTTTCCTCCCGTCCGCGCTCTCTCACTGATGGATTGCGCTTAGGATTAAGCCTAGAACAAGTTGGGATTTGATTATGAATGAATCGCTCATCCTAAGATCCCGCTCACCCAAGCATTGCCTTTTAGGGAGTGGCTGGGCCATCGTGGAACCCCACTTTTGAGTCTAGTCCCAAGTGCAATCTCATCTCTGGGCGGGTGCAGACGAGTAGGAAGTAGGCGTCAGAGGGCTTTATAGCTCGAATAGAAGTGTCTTGTTCGTCATCAGAACGCCAAATAATTCGCATAATCTAGTTTAGACTGAAATTAGTGAGAACAGCCGTAGCCGCTAACGGTGTCAACGCCAGAAGCAAATGTCATGTTTGTAATTATAGCACCCAATAACCTCGATAGGGCAAAGTTGGGACAGAATTGAAATTTGTGATGATGGGATTGTAATTGTTGAATAATGTCGAAAACCCACCAAGCTGCAAGCACTGCTGCGACCATTCCTTCGATATTATTTTCGTCCCTTTCATTTTGATTTGAGAACTTTAAAATGTTAAAGTACCTCCATAGAGCACACCCAAAGTCATTGGGGGCAATTTTTGCCGCATCGGGTGTCTTGTTAGCTGCGTCCGCTGTCTACCGTTGTTCATAGGATGTTGTTCCTTCTTTACAATATCACTTTTAGTCTTGACCCTAATGAAGATCCTGTGACTGGATTGGAAAGAGTAGCATCATCACCGAATGTCAGTAATCTGTCTCGGCGCAGGAGAGAGGTTCGAGACACTAGCTGACTTGTCTACCATTTATTTGGGTGCAATCGGTTCTGTAAATCAGGGATTCAGGATGAGGAACGGTTACGCAGGCGTCGGGCTCAGCAACCACCTCCAGAAGAGGAACAGGAAACATGCGTTGTCATCCAAATATGAAAGCCTTAACTATGAAGTGTCTGAGAATCAACTGTATCGCAACGAAGAAGCGGATCCCTATCATCATGTAAGATTTACTGTTATGATCTCAAAAGTGTCAGTAAGCGTGTAAGACCATATGTTTAGCGCATCGTAATCAATGTTTGAGCGGAAATTGCGTCGCGTTCTTATTGAGGCCAGTTGTTTTTCAAGAGTTTTTCCGTTTTCAATTGTGTTCCCGGTAGGAATTTTGCGCTCGCTAAAAATATACACACTATCCAGTCACTTTGGCTCGCGTGTAAGCCTCCAAATTTGAAGCATAGGTAACACAGATATTTTAGTATCCAAGATAACTTATCGCCACTTTTGAATGCACTGAAATAGTCAAAAATGCCCTGACGAAAATCTCTACGGAACCATCACCAAGAGTTTAGATACATTCCCGCTCAGCATAATCAGGTCCTACTATAAGCTCATGAAACGCTATATTCTGCCTGTTCATTACATGTCTCTAGAAGTATTTTGCTTATAGATGTCTTGTTGTACTTGGTTCGAGGACCAGTCGATTTTTTTTCAGATGAGACTATGGCGACGTTCACGTAATCGATGGATTGTATGTTTCTTCATAGGTATTGTCACGCTCTTGTAGCTGCAGCGATTGATATCATGCTGCACTACAGTCAAGAGATCAAGTTTGGCTTTATCATCAAAAATCGTGCGTTGAACGTCTGAGCTATTTGTGCAAAGTGGTGTCTCATTGACATGTGTGTTTTCCGCTTGTCAAAATGCGATAAAGAAACTGAGCTTACTGGCGATGGTTGCATGTGGAAGGTGGTTGCAGCTTGGATTTGCTACAATTGTTTACTTGTTGGTATTGCAGGGAGCTTGGTGAGTTCTCGAGGCTGATATCTTCATTTATTACGAAAAATACATTTTTCCTACATCGGGCTCATTAGGTCTTTAACGATAGCTCTTCTCAGTTATAAAACTTTTATCATCTGCTAACTTTGTTTATCCGATGTTACACTCCTCGTTCCTTGGGCCCTTTATATTCCAGATTTATGCAGTTCTGCTCTAAGTTGTTTCATAAAAATTTTGCTGCTATTCAGGCTGTCAGGGTTTGATTCTTCAGTCCTCGAATTCTTCGCTTCAAACTCTTTTTTTTTGTTCACTACTTCTTCTGTAGCTTTTTTCTGTCCTTCTCTACTTTGCTTCGCATAGAATCCTTCTACTCGAATGTGTGCGATGTCTATGGTTAGCTTAGGTGATCTTCTGGGCACCGACTGCTGGAGGCTCGGGAATTCCGCAGATAAAGTGCTATTTAAATGGCATCCAAATACCGGAAGTCGTAAGACTGAAAACGCTGTTTCTAAAGCAATTGGAGTTGCCTGTGCTGTAGGTGGAGGTCTGTCGGCTGGGAAGGTAACGCATTTTCTCAATTTCATTTATCTTACCAACAGTTGTCTTATTTTTCTAATGGCATATTTCCTTAGGAAGGACCAATGATTCATTCTGGTGCTGTTGTGGGTGCTGGTATTTCTCAAGGTAAATGTCAAACTCTACATTTTGACACTGGCTTATTTAAAGAGTTCAGAAATGACAGGTACGGGTCACTTTTCCAGTTTTTTCTCGGAAGAGCGTGCTAGTTGCGTTTCGCATTGCGCTGTTTCAGAGAACGTCGCGACTTTGTTTCGGCGGGAGCAGCCGCTGGTGTTGCGGCGGCTTTCGGAGCTCCAATAGGCGGTGTATTATTCTCGCTTGAGGAAGGAGCAAGCTTTTGGAATCAGAATTTAACATGGAGGATGGTGAGTAAATCCTTCCTCGTTACTTTTTGGAAGTTCTTTGCCGACCGTGCACCTTCATGATACCAAAAAGAAAGGCCTCAGCAAAATCGTTGCATAAAAGGGGCCTTTTGAGTTTTTTCTTGAATCTTCTGTGCCTGGCAAGGCTGATTGTATAAAATCATCGTTTATTCATTTGCACCTTGATACGATCACTCGAAATTACAACTGTTTTTTTTGGAGTTTTGTCGTTCAGCTGCCGGCCGCTATATTTCGGCAGTGGAATGTACTAAAGCACTCTGAATACACATGAGTGAATTCTCTCAGTTTTTTTTTATTTCATTCCCTCTATCACACGAGATGTAACTTATTTTTATGATAGATGAATTTATCACCTTCCCATTCCTATAGTCTTCCAGGACAGTTTTATATTATGTCCTTCTACCCATACCATCAGTACTGTCGTCCCTGTTCTGAACAGTTTCCAATAAGACCTGCTAGTTATGCCCATTCGAAACTGTTGTGGTGCAGAAAGCAATTTTGAATAGCAATGGGAAGACATGCTGTGTTGATCTCTCATCCATAACTTTTAGTTCTTTTCTGCGATGATCTCGGCTTTTACTGTCAATTCAATTCTCAGTTGGTTCAATGGTCGCAGCGGATGGTTGTCGTGGACAGGACTGGCTAACTTCGGCGTTTTCGAGGTACTTACCAGTGATTTTGATCGACGATGAGATGTTAAATATGTACGTAGGCCAGGTCAAAACAACTAGGGTTAAAACGGCAATGATCTAAGGTCCAAGCAGTGATATAAATGTTTTGACACAGTAATGAGTAGAAGGGTTCAAAAAAAAACTAAGAAAGATTTCAAATGGTAGAAAGTAGAGCACCATCACAGGTAGACGTGGAGATCGGATGCGCTCCTGCGTGTTGTATTTGCTCTCTGCTAAATCACTGTTGTGAAATCGTTTACAGTGACATCGTTTTTCAATCATAGTTTGACTTTTGATGTGTCATTTCCCTAAAACGGTCTCGGGTTTCTTGCGTCTTTGCCGAATTGTTAAATGGCTTCCACCGGCGATAATTGAGGGTCATGGCTACCCCATTTTTTCTATGTCAAGGTCAAAGCCTGTTTGGCTAGGAATCTGTGCAAGAATTACTTGCTTAACCCACTGAGCGTAAGATTCATCGAACTTGTCTAACGTGAAAATGCTGGGCGTGTGCGCTATGGGCGGTGCCGCCAAGTTAGATTCTCTGAAAACTTTTAACCAAAGATGGTCTCAAATTTTGAGAACTGTTATCGCAATCATTTTCTTGAACACAACGATTTCTGTCAAGAAGCCACTGTATGCGGATTGGTACCCTATAGGGGACTATGGTTAGTGAGCAAAAGCGCGTTTACCTGCCGCAGGCGTTTTTGAGCTGCACGCGGACAGTCTTTGGCCAAGGGGCTGAATCACCGTTAAAGGAAGCGATTACGATAGATCTCAAAGGGGTTTAGAGGGACGTGGGGGTCTCAATAGTACGCCAATGGCGAAAAAAGCAAAGAAATCCGTCAAAAATAAGCAAAATAGTACCCCTTTGATTGCCCTTTCATTTTCGACCATGGATGAGCGACGGTAAAGAACGACGTTGTTCGGACGTGTTAACCCCGATAGCCGCCATCATGCCAACAAGCATAGTGTTTGATTGATAAGGCAATACGTGGGCAAGTTGGAAGATACAGCCGCTAGAAGGGAAATGATCATCCAAAATGAAAAGCCAACAGCAAACAGTCCATCCAGATCATCAACAAAACTAGTGGGCGTTACGTCACTGGGGGCGGAGCGTCACACGGGTCCTGCTCAGCAACCACAGCACCTTTCGCCGTGGGAGGACCACACATCGCTTCCTTGGCAGCCAAGTAATTGCTCCGTGTGGCGCAGGTTCTCCCCCGATGCGAAAATTCCTTATCGTAATCGCTTCCTTTAAAGCAACAGTTCAGGAACGGTTTCGCGGGAAAAAACCACCAATAATGAAGTTGTAGATGAAAACCAGACGATTAATGTATGAAAAACTGGAAAAAACGTCGGGGAGGGTCTTAGACAGGTACTCTCCCTCTGCCGCTCAGCAATGGATAAAGACGCACGTTGGACGAGTTGTCTGAACGTGCCCGCTGTAAACGCGCTCCATTTTTCAATCAATTTTCCCTGTGGTCCCAAAACGAGCACGATTGCCGACGCGTCCAATGACGGCCGGCAAGGGGGCGGGATTGGGGAAATCCCCAAGAACACCCATGTTTGAGGGACTTTCCACCCTGTTTTTGAGTTTCTGAGGTAAGTTCGTTTATTATTTCCACTGCATATGTTCTTCACTAGGGCTCGTGTATCCCTCAGTAGTAGTGGCATTGAAATTTTCGGACCCTCCCTGAACTGTTGCTTTAAAGCAAAAGTTAAGGATGCGAAAATTCCTTATCGTAATCGCTTCCTTTAAAAGCAAATTTTAAGCCGAGCAAGTTTTGACCACGTGAAGAAAGAGTTTGGGTTATTACGCCGGAAATTCGAAGTGTGAATGTTCTAATGGAATTGTCCCAATCCCAAAAAATGGCGTTCGAGCATCGGTACAAGAATCACTACAAACGAATGACGTCATCATAAGCGTAGAGAACACGAAGTGACTCCGGTACTCTGTCGTCGATCCTGTAAATCTACCGCTCTAACCATTAGGTTATTCCATCGATCCGATGTACCGACTAACTGGTTGATTTTCTACTGCTACTTATAAAATGAGGGAGGTGAAGTGCGTCTGCAAATCCCTTCAAAAGTCTGCTAATAGAATCGTTGTGTGAATTTAGAGAATTGATTTGAGAACAGCGTTGAAGAAGCACATCTAAAGTAATTTGTGAGGTTGTTGCACATTTTTGCAGTTTGCCACTTATTTAGGAGACATTTTTTGTGATTTTTCGATTGAATGACAACACCATTTCAACCATTTTATGAAGCTAGCAAATGAAACTAATTCGTTCTTTTCTATTCCTTAGCGTATTTCAGAACAAAAACTACAACATCTGGGAGATTCCATTATTTCTGGCCGTTGGAGTTATTGGAGGCTTGACGGGTGCTTTATTCAATCATCTCAATGCCAGGTTGACAGAGTTCAGAAAGAAGTAAATTCTAATCCAGATAAGCTTAAGGCGTAATATTTTCCCTCGAAACGGAGTTCAAGCGTTGCAGTTTTGAGTTAATTTTGTCTTTTTCAAGATATATGTCCAACAAATGGCAGCGATTGATTGAATGCCTTCTGGTAGCCGCCATATCAGCTTTCACTGCTTTTATAACTCTTTTTCTGGTAGATGATTGCCAGCCTGTTGGTGTCAATCCTAATATCACAGAAGTTAATCAAGTGAGCCGTTTTCTTACTTTGTACTCGCGTTTCGTTATATTCATGTAGAACTTTTAGATGTGGTGCAAGAAAGGCGAATACTCCGCGGTAGCAAAACTTTTCTTCCAGAATCCTGAAGAAAGCGTGAAATCACTTTTTCACAGCCCTATAAGTTAGTTTCTCAGCCAGTACGTTGCTGTCATTCTTGTAATGTTTCAAGTGAAATTCAGATTCATTCCGACCCTGGACTTTGCTTATTTTCTCGATCGAGTACTTTCTACTTACCATGTGGACGTTTGCTCTACCGGTACCTGCAGGAGTTTTCATTCCGGCAATATTAACCGGTGCGGCTTGGGGACGACTCTTTGGCATTGGCGTTGGTCGCGCTTTCCCAACTATTGTAAGTAAGGTTTCTCTACATTTTCTTTTTCACATTGAGTACATTCACTTGTGTTTTAGACAGGAATTGACCCTGGGAAATATGCGCTGGTTGGAGCAGCTGCACAGTTGGGAGGCATAGTGCGGATGACAATATCGCTCACAGCCATAATAATGGAGGCAACAAAGGTGGTCCTTCTTTTCGGATATTGGGTGATGTATGCCTTTGAAGATTTGAATAATAGGCCTCGCTACACTTTGTTTATCAAATCTGTTTGACCCACTTTTGGAGAAATGTTATGAGATACCGTGTTTTTAAGCGGTTACTTCGAGCACATACACTGTTGGATTTCCTTCGCTTCTTTGAGCAGTTTTACTATTTGGAGGATTCGATCTGAATCCTTCATTCATTCGTCAGAACTCAAATAGTAGTCCAGTACACGACTGCCTTATACATCGTTTCAGAACAATAAATAAATGAGTAGTAGTACTGCTGAGAATAAGGAGTTAGGGCGAGATGTGTCGTGGGCAGTATCTGTACACGTCCGCCCCAGGTCCCTTACAATCAGCGTAGTGTGTGCAACACCATAAGGATTGTGAAACCTATCTTTTTATCATTTCCTAGTCAGCATGGTCTATCAAATCTAGTGTTGTTCCAGGACATTACGTTTGGATTGCCGATAATGCTGGTGTTGATGATTACGAAGTGGGTGGGCGATACGTTCAATGAGGGATTATACGACATGCATATTGATATTCAAGAAATTCCGATTCTCGGATGGCATCCACCAAAAATGAGTAGAAACATTCTGGCTGAGTGAGTTGTTCTGTGCTGCTCTTCTTCTATGTATCTTCAGCTTGTTAATGGTTGAGCAGCTTTTGGAAGGTACCGCGTGGTACCAAATTTCTTATGTGAAAGCTCGTCTATAAAGCTCATTTGTACCTCAATCTTGAGTAGCCCTAGTTATAGCACCATCGCCGAGTTTTTCCCCCTCACCACGATAAGAAGTCCTACATAGCATTAACATATGTTGAAATCATAATGTCGACTAAGTTCACTAAATTACTCTCGTGCCTACAAATTACTCCCCCTGGTACTACTAATTTGCGTATAGTTTTTCTGCTGCGATGGTTAGGGTTATTTCATTTTCAAAGTTTTTGATTTGTACTCACACAACGCATTACGAAGTACACAGCGCAAAATATCACTTTTTTCCGGTGGGTGAGTCACCGTGAAAAGAAAAATGTGGTCTTCGAAAACCTTGGCACTCCACGTGGCTTTAGTAGGCATCGTCTCCTACGGCATAAGAGGTGTCGCCTGGCATTGAGAGACCTTGTCCCCCCAATTTTAAAGATTTTATCTTAGCAACACACCTTGTCTTTCATTTTTGGAAACCGAATCATCTAGCTCTTTTTAAGGAAAGTCATGCGATCCGATGTTGTCGCAATGGAACGTCGTGAGCGTGTATCAAGAGTAATTGCTGTATTACGGGCAACGAATCATCATGGATTCCCTGTTGTGGATAGGATTGAAGAATCACCGCTTTCATCACTTCCTGATTATGGGCACTTGAAAGGAGTAATACTGAGAAGCCAGCTGATCACATTACTCGAGAAACGGGTGCGTAGTTCGCTTACTGACTTTGTGATTTGTTCACTTTCGCTTTTCCATATGAGCTAATACTAGATTGTGAGCTGGTTTATACGGACCTTTTCTTGAAGATTTGATTTAGTCTGAACGCGGCGCTCATGTTTTGGGGGAGGACGTACAAGTGAGTGAGCCACTTACAGTACATGGGACTAGGTTTGAGGAGCGGAAGAGATATGATCAATTTATGCTCTCCCTTGCTTCGCTCCCCTCCCCTGGGCTTAACCCTTGTGTCACTTACAGTCGCCCTTGTTTTGAAAGAGCCCCGCCCGGTGCTCACAACAATGAATGCCGAATTTCAACAGCTGCTGTAGCGTTATCCTCGATGGTAAGGTTCTTATCGTAAAATAGTGGCGTTTGAAGTTCTACAGTTTGCAATGATTTTTCTAAAGTGATTAAGGTGCTACCGCAGGATACGGTGAATTGTGGTGGGAATGCACTTGTATTTGCATGAAACATATCCTTAAAAACGGAATAAGCCCCAGGGGGGGGGGAGGAGAGAAACGTGAGCAGCTTTCAATTTCTTTGATGTTTCTCCTCCCTCCTAATCTTAGTCCTAGAGAATGCCTTCATGTCGTGCAGTAGCGTCGGTATCTACATCTAGAAAGTTCTCAGTAACTTCGTCTCTGCAGTGAGGTTCAGCAGTGATACCCATTCCGCACCTTTAACAGTATGCTGACTACTGGGTGTCTGGCCGGTGATAGTGCTAAAGTGGTGATCAAAGGGATGTAACCGCTTTAGCACAACAGCCATCACCCAATCGTATCGTAGTTCCGTCCTGCCTAAGTTCAACTCTTTGGCTAGTCTCTTGGGTCTCTGATGTTTGCTCATTTCCAATCAAGAATCAGGGTTCCGTTTTGCATCTTTGTATATTCTCTATTCTCGCAGTGGTATAATGCTGACCACACGCTCGTTCTCACTGCGCAAAGCCATATAATCTTCGTTTTCTTAATTACCAAAACTTACTTGAGTGTTCCTCACACCTTTTGTTTTCTACGTTCTGAGGATGAGTAGTTCGTTATGCTGTTTCTTCTCTCAGGGATGTGTTTTTGGAGCATTCAGAGTTGCAGGTCCCGGCAGAGCTTGAGTGGAGCGTTATTAAATCACGGTCTCACATTCTCGCTGATTGATTTTAAATTCGTTGTTTTCAGGTCTTTTATTCTGAAATGATGGCTCGAAAGGTGTTATCGAGTAAAAAATACACTAGCGATTGCTTCGATTGAGATGTGGAAGTTTTCCATCTTTTGCGCTTTTGAAGCTGTTCAAGTCCCATTAGGGCGTTTAATGAGTCCTTGTTTCGAAAGAAAAAAAAAGCGTTGTATGGCCCAATCATTCAAAAATAGGGTGTCGTTCTCAAGTCTATCCATTTGCTCCAACCCATTTATTGTTATCTTGTTTCCAGACAACAAGACAAATCTGTTGACTCTCTGAGATTGTCTGCTTCGGATGAGCAGTGCTGGATGGATCTTGAACCTTTCATTCATCCTCATCCGCACCGCGTACCCCTCAATGCTTCACTACCGTTCATCTTCCAGTTATTCCGTGGGCTCGGACTGCGATATCTCACAGTAGTCAACGATGATAATAAAGTAAGATTCCTCTTTTTTCCAGAGTTGTATCGTACTTAATTCCGTATTTTCAGCTTCGCGGTATCATTACACGGAAGGACGTTGCTCGATTTAGAGAGCGTCGCTCCAACAGAAAATATCAAGTGCGGGAGTTATATATTGCCGAAGACAGAACGAATGAATTCACGATGAGCTTGTTATCATTCTCTGTTCTCGTTGAATTGTGTAGAATACAATCTTACTGTGCTTACTCAGTGATATTTGTTTGGCTACAAATATTTACGGACCATTTTCACCCCTTCACACTTGCCGCCTTGATCTTTAATAATTTAGCATTCTTCTTCAATAGTAACACCTCATGTAATCTATGCCAATTGCATTCCTTTGTTCCGATTTCCACTTATTCTAGTCTATTTTGTTTTGTTAGGAGTGTTGAAGGGTCATTGTTACGGACATTTGAAATTGTGATTAGATGATATGATCGTTGCCTCATGTACGTTGTAGTAATTTTTGATTCCCATTAAAATTTCGAAGTCGGCATTTTTACCTTTGGAGTGGTGTTTTCCACACTGATTATCCTTTTTCTCTTGTACTCATTATGAAACTGTTAATATAGTTCATTCATGATAGATATGACATCTGTTGATAGGCCTTGCTCACGTTGCACTAGGAGCGTTATTCGCAGCTCAGACTCAGTTTGGTTGCGATCGCGCGATGATCTATACGTATCGTACTACTCGTATCGTACGTACTTACGAAGGAACGCACGATCACGTGATCGAAAAGCATGATTTGGCCCAAGGACAACTGTCGCGTCCGTGCTTCTACAAAATTTTGCGAACCCCCCCCCCCCCCCCCCCATCATCGTCAGCCATAGATAGATCCCTCAGCACAGTTCCTTCCTCCACCCGACAACTACCCCGCCATGTTTCTATTAGTTGATACAGAGGCCGTCGGATGAGGGGGTAGGCCTAATTAAGTGGAAATCTATAAACAAAGCTTGCAATTTTGCCTACTTTTATTCATTCGCGAATTCGTGATCTTCGCCAAAACCATCGAAAATCCCGAACACGATTACGACCCTCACTCGCGCTTTTCCCAAGCCTGAATAACCTTTCTCAGCCCCAAATACGACTCCCTCCCTTCCCAAATCGCAAATGCGATCCCCTCGTTCGAATAGTGCGAGCGGACGGTTGCCCTCGATTCGGCCTCCGCCAGGAGTTGAAGCGAGCGCTAATGGGATTCACACCGGCCAAGCACCTTTTTGGGAATCGTCACTGAGAGTTTGTCCGCCAGCTGGTGTTCCTAACCCCTAATTGAAAACGATGGGGGGGCGGGGGGGGGGGGGGTATCTGGCGGTTTGCTCCTGCCCTATGGTTCAAACATATGTTAATTCGGGAAAAGCTCAATCTTTTCATTTCAGGGATGTTAATTCCTCTGCTGAGCGTGATAGTGGCTGGGTGTGTCGCCGAGTGGGTGGTGGATTTGGAGTATTCTTTGAACAGTAAGGTTGAAATTCATTTCAATCCACATTAGGTTGGATCAACTATTTTGTTTTAGGTTTGAACGATGTCCATCCTCTCGGAAAAATTGAGCTACGAAGGTCGTTTGACGGTAATTATACGGCAACGTTTCGAGCGGCAAGTGGTAATCGGTTAAGTGAAGGGATGGCTGCCGATCCTGCGTCCACATATCTGGTATTGGCGAGGAGCTCAACTCACCCGAAGGATCAATTGATGTCATCTAGCAAAACGGTACCTTTTTCACCTTTAGGCGGTTTCCGTCACAACCAGTACTTGTTATAAGGATGGGACACAAACGAAGGGACTAGCGGACTAGTGGCTCTGTTGCTTTCTACATTTGTCTGACATTGAAGTGCGTTATAAGTCACGTTAGGAAAAAATATTTATCCTTATAGTGCATAAAAATACACATACCCTTATTGTGAGATTATTGAGATTATATTTTATTATGAGATTATGATTGAGATTATATCCTTATTGTGAGATTCTTTTTCACCACACCAGTCTTCCCTTGTTGATTTTCAGCAAAATTGGATGGGGCACTTACTTGATGTGTGGAAAAAACAAGCGCCCAGTAGTTTAGTGGCAGTATTTCCAAGGATTAAGCTGTGGTCTTGCAGATATGAGACCGGTGTAGCAACCAGTTGGCCACCGCCCCATATCCATGCAGCGTATGCATCTCATATTCGTGCTGAACTGAATTTGCTCTTCATCACGTGAACCACTGTGGTTCTGTCCAGAGAATAGTTCAGCAGGTGCGGAGTACAGATTCAAGCGCAGCGTTCAAAGAGCCTTCTAATCTCGGATGGCCACTTCGACCTACCATCCATCTTTTGCAAGAATGCAGTACGACATGCCCGCCCACGCTATCAGAGTATAACTGTTAGTTGACTATGAACGCTATGGTAATTCCATCCTGTCTCACAAATTAGGCTCAGCCAAAATTACGAACCACTATATGCCCATTTTGAAGCATTTCTTGTTACTTCAGTGCTTGCTGCTACAATCGAATCTGTTCCACTACTTCTGGCTGTCTGTCGACGCAGAACGGCAACTTGTTCAGTCATTGACAGTGTTTCCGGATATAGTGGCAGCTGGTGATAAGCCACTCGATTCAAATCTTGACTGTTCTCAGCTGGTCATTTCAACTTCTGTTCAACCAAGTGCTGTCGTGCACGTAAACACCAAAGGAGTACTTCCGACGTGAGCTTGCTGTGTGATCTCCTTGTTGAGACTAAGTTGTAGTGATTTGTCTGCATAGTTAATTCTTCGTTTTCAGACCTGACACTCAGTTGTTCGTTCAAATGATGGAAAGAGAACGACGAGCGCGACAGCATGGAGCAGAAGCAGACGATAGAAGTTTCTTAGGGAAATATGTGAGTAAATGAAGGGAAAATGTATTAGTCGTCTTATCCTGAAGTTTATTCAAGGCACAGCTCAGATTCGTATTTTGTCTGAAATCAAGTGTTCAAACATGAAACTAGGGTGGAATCCTCCGTCCATGTAAGGGTTGGAGCGAGAGCCGTTTTCGACATACTGTTAAGGGTCGTATGCGCATGGGTTTACCCCGGGAAACGTTCAGTTCTCCCCTCAGGTCAGGTCACCAGAGCTGCGCGATGATTGAAGCTCAAGGTTAGGCTCAGGCATTGAGTTCAGCTTAGGCTTAGATTACGCATTGGCTCATGCGTAAGCCTATGGTTAGGCTTAGGCTCAGTCTTAGGCCAATTATTCCACATCCACACGAAAAATAGGGAACACGCGTCCCATTGATGAAATGTTACCGAAGGGGAAGCTTCAAGCTATCTCCATTTCTGTGTGACTCGTCTGAAAACAGAGGTCCAAATTAGGTTGCTTATTGAAGACTTGATGGATCATAGCAGCGTCCTCCTCTCCAGTCTTAGCTACCGATCTAAATTTAAGATTGAATTCGATCATTCCGACGGCTGCTAAAGTTAGTAGAAGTTATTTCGATTTTTTCTGATTTATCCAGGAACGTTTTTGGTGGGGGAAAATGAATGGTTTTCTATGCCCATGCATATGCGAGAAGTGATAGGTTTTTCTGTTTCAAAGGTGCGTTCCGCAGTTGCTCCGTGGATTGCGTCAAGCTAGTGAAAAGGTACCTCATTGTAGGAGCTTTACTGCTTCGGGAAGCAACTGAATAGGCTCCAAAAAGTAGCAAAGCCGCCTACTCTGATAGCCTAACCCTGTCTACGTCTGTCTCAGCCGAAAGCTTCCTTAGCATGAAGTGATAATGTAAAGTACATCTCAATGAACCTTTGGCCATACATAGAAAAACTGCTACATTTTGGTTGAAATGCTAAAGGTTTTTAAAGCTTATTTTATCTATCTCGTCCTGCTTCAAGTTTTGCACACCAGTACAGTTTTTTCTGCATATGACACCATTTATTTTCAGTGGATGTACATTGTTCCTGTTGTGGTATTCGTTGTGATTTCGAATGCGATGACACCAGATGGAGGAGGTGAAGGGTAACCTATTTTCTAGATGTGAATTGGGGCATACGATGCTTTACTTTTACGATTGTGATTGTAAAATAACTGCTCAATCCTGCCGTTATACTCCATTGGTCGTTGTTTTCTATTATTTATTTTCCGCTGATTGATCTACTCACGATTATTTGATCCTCGTTAGATCCGTACAATTGTTGTTTTCGTGATTGCACGTAACTTCCTATAAATATAAGGTATTTAATAAAATGTTCGGATTTAATTTGTCTCTACCTTTGGGTCCATTCCACATTATTTTTATTGATTTCTTGTTCACAATTGATAAAAGCTACACTCCAAGATACGAACTAGGCGCTCGTATGTGAAGTGGATAAATGGACGGGGAAAAGAGAAGGAGGCATCACAGCACCGAGTTCTACAGCCAGTTTGGCTGTGCAGCATGCACATGCATCACACGGGGCTGCAGTGGTGTGAAACAGGGCCATCGATATTTTTGTAACGCTTTCTGGCAAACTTCGCCCACTCGCCGCGCGCTCCACCCACCAATAGCGTATGATCTCCTTTAGTTGTTAGGGTCTTTCCGCTTCTTTCCTGGCCCCAAGGATACCTTGGAACCGAGCTATGATGTTCGTGGACGAGTCCGCCCATTCCGGTACACGCCTCACCCACCTATAGCTGATGAAATTTCTCCCGTTGTCGGACTCGCTCCACTTTTTTCTCGGTCTCCAGGACTTCTTGTAGTCAAAATAAGTTTGGTAGCAAACTAACCTCGCGTGTGCTTGCTACGCCCACCAATGAGAGTTTACTTCCTACCTTTTGCCGGCCTCTACTACTACTACTTTCCCGGTCTTCAAATTTTCCTGGAACCGCTTGATAAGTCTGGTAACAAACCCCGCCTACTTTTCGCATGCCCGCCCACAAAGGGCAGTCGACCTCCTTCCCTTCGTCAACCTCAGTCCACTTTTTTCCCTGGTCCTTGGACTGTCTCTGAACCGAATTACGAAGTTCCGTGGATAACTCCGCCCGCTTTGGTGCATGTCCCGCCCACCAACAGCACTTAATCTTATAGAAGACGCCGTGCACTTTAGAGCGCGCTCCACCCATTGTGGGCGGCCTCCGCCCACGTCATGTATGCTGGAAACCTTAGACATTGCTCCCTACACCAATTTGTTTTCTGCTCTGTAGGCTTTCTCCCAACCGAGTTATGAAATTTTTCATAAAGCACTGCTTTTTTAGAGAACGCCCCGCCCACCGAGGGTGGGTCTCCCTAATTCGATCTGGCTTACCAATGCACACCTTTACCCACTTTTGTCCCAGTCTCGAGGCTGTTTTGTGACTGAATTTGTCAGTAATCATTTCGATGCACGCCACGCCCACTGTGGGCGGGGCTCCGCTTAGCTGATGTGTGTTTTGTACTTCGTGAGACCTTGCCCACCCATCCCACACTTGACCCGGTCTCCTCCAGGCGGATCCCGAGGAGCTAGGGAATTTCGTGACAGACATACAGAACGACAGACGACAGACGAAGCGCTTTATAGTATTAGGATGCTTAATCCCCTTCTCGCACAATCAAAATGGCTCACACGCCCTGGGGCCTCCTTCCCCTACGCAGAATCAGATTACTAGCTGAGATGCCCTTCCCCTAAAAGGGTGTCAGACTACGCGATTGCAATCGCGGCGCAGTTGCGGCTGGGGCGGCGCGCCACAGTGCAAGCTATGGATCAGTAACGACTCACCTCACCTAGTACAAGCCTGGCATCGCGCACTGCCTCACTGGCGTATGCGACCGATATTGCACTCGCGGAGTCTGGTACCTGCCTTAGTACACCAGCGCCACAGTGCGCCACACTTGTTTCTCATACCCTGGTGAGTCACAAATGTGGACTGAGCAACACAGACGCGATCAGAAAATAGTACCAAAATGATTATTCTATGTCAATTTGTTGGGGGTTTTGCCACAAGTGCCTGTGCTATTTTACAAATCAAAAGTAACGTGACTTGGACGTGGAGTGAATAACAATTGTTGCTGAGCCTGCATTTGCTACTCTCATGATACGGGACAAATGTATTCTCGATTGACGGCCATTCTTTCTAAACCTCAATCCAGAGGTATAACGTAACTGTGGATATTTGCGACATTGAGCTCTCAAATTAAGGGGCGATTGCGGTTATGACCGAACTATTTCGCATCGGCTCGAGTATCATACGAGCACACATTCTCTTCGGTACTGTCAATAGTCTGGATCGTCTTTGGTGCAATCGGCAGACTCTCAGAGTCTCCGATGTGTTCGACGATTTTGTGGATAGTCTCGGACGTGATGTGACGGATATGAACAGAGTAAGATGATATGCTCATTACTACTGAGTATGCCCATTTTGGCCAGGATACTGCAATCGTACGCGAGTATGCAATAGTACAGGCCTTTGACTGTGCTGGAAGAGGTCTATAAATCGTGCAACTGCAGGCTGCATTTTATTAAATAAGTTGTTCTGGTAATATGGCTGCTGGCGCTATCGCAAGATACGAAGGCATTAGTGGTGGCGTGCATATTCTATCCGCCGTGAAATCATCTCCTTCTCTGTTAAAAGTATGCTAAGCCTCAAGCTGGGAATCAATATACTCCGGGCTGCCGAGCAATTTTCAATTTCTCTCAGAGTCCCTGGTCCTCCTCGCTTAGTCCGATGGTGGCCCTTATCTTGCGTCAGCGCACACTCAGGGAACCGAACTGTCCACGAAAGCTGGTGCCTGGATGTCTACTGCGCCGCAGTCGAGGGGCGTCTCTCCAAATGAATGGCTGACGTTCTTCGCAGCTCTTCGCAGTTATCCGCATCAGGGTCAACCGTCTCGTTCGTCCTATCACAGAAAAAAAAAATCACACTTCCATATTTCGAGGGGTTCCGATCCGACCCGCTACCAACATCAGTCTGGGGATGCTCCAATACGTCCGCTTCCTCCCCATTACCGAACACTACATCCACCATCATTTAATTACGTTATTTTAGTTATTCGCATGCAACGCGATTAGTGTGCGCTGACCACATTCTATATAAACGATTGGTCGTGCTAGCAACACATCATGATTAGTGAAACAGACCTGAACAACCTGCCCTGAGTTACAATTTAAGAGCCTCCCTTTTTACGAAAGAATGAACGAAGCAGGTGTTATAAGAAGCTGAACAGCGGAATTCGAACAGTCTGTGCAAGCCTCAATTTCAAACGTTAGTATTCGGTCATAGTGATAAATTATCAGTAGGCGGATAGCGCTAAGGAGAACGACTACTCACTGACTCGATTGAAGTCACGGCATGGCTTTCTATAAGCATTAGAGTTCGAGACCAGGTTTGACACACATCTAATTCGCATGCTTGTCATACCAAGAAATGGACGCTTCGGCTGGGGGGTTTGAGGCGAACACAAGCGATAGAGCCATTAAATACAAGTAAGTAATCCATAAGATGAAAAGTAATTCGATTTTTAGAAGAAAGGAACTCTGGATGTGTGAACCATTTCACTTTCACTTTCACGACCACCCGGAGGTCACGAAACTGGATAACTTAGGCGGCACAAGTCATTACTTCGAATATTCACCCCATTGCTGGAAGAGCCCTGAAATAATGTTAAGAGGTATGAAGGCATTGGCTGTTCATCAATCCCTTCGGGAAAGCACTGTGTAATCTACCTCGATTCGAATCGTAGCGACATTGAAATGTACGTCCATGCAGTGTCAGCAGGGCAATCCGCTGCAAGTCCTTCTTTCACCCTGTTTTCCTCCGTTACGTTCTCTCACCATTTAAGACTCTCAATGGTAGAAAGCTAGATTGGCTCGATGACTCCATCCATTGGATGTCCCCAGGGTCGTGTGCGTGGTAGACGACGGCAGTTGTCGCTACACATTCACCTCTCAAATAGTTTTGCGCATGGCCTGTTTTTTATTCCGATGCATTTTTCAGAAAATTTTATGTTTCTTTTGTCAGGGCTTAACATTTTCTCGTATGTTACGGCAGTCGAAATTTGTACAGCTAGGAGATTTTAATGGTCGCCTCGTCACTGGGAAGATCGTGCATCGAGTACAGGTGAATACATCCAGGAGCACAGTTCAAGATTACCTCACTTTTCCCATTTCCTTGGCTTATTCAGGATGATCTCTATATCGACTTCGGATTAAAGTTCAATGCGGTCTGCAAGGCACCTGCAGTGAACTCTGAGTAAGTGCGAATTTTCTTGAGAGCGTCACTTGTAAATTGAAAAGTATGAAATTTCAGAGCTTACCGAGAAGGAGCTGCAGTATTGTTAAGACTCCATGATCCAGAACTGAGCGAGCAATTTCTTGGTTCCAAGCATGACTTGACATTACTTGAAGCTGATGCAACGTTGATTCGGCTTCTCCGTCGCCCCACTTCTGAAAAAGGTAGTGTCAATAAAAGTTTCTCATGATGTGCTTCGCTTCGCAGTGGTAGACTACCCAGGCTATCGACTTGCTTAGAGTAAATAGTGATTGCCTAATGTCTTTCCTCTGTATTAATTTGTGCGTGTCACCCTTTGTTGATTAATCGTTCGTATGATTTTTGTTGTAGGAGGAGAGAGGGTCAGAAAACCTCGAAGCTCACTTGCTGACGAGTTACCCATAAACGCTGGCGATAAGCCAGAAAATGCAGTTGCCTAGTAGAAATTCTGGCTGATGGATGAGATTAGAATTTGTTTTGAGTTGTTTAATCAGTGTATTATATTATTAGGAAGTGTTGAGTTGTTTATTATTGTTTCCTTTCGTCAATGCAAAGTCGATAAATTTGTTCTTGGATAATCTCGAACGTGATTTGTAGTGAGCGATTAAAAACGCATTGGTACTTGTGGTCGTGACCCTCGATCTTCCGTGTGCCATATTTCGGGTGCGGTAGAATAGCTTTGTGTGCTTCATGTTTGCCAGGATTATACTCCTCGCATGGCGTCGGCGAACATTTTTTTCTCGGTACTTTAACCCTTTGAGTACCAGGGTATGCATATGTACCTCACTGCTTGGGAACCTC